TAATTTCCATGCATCTCCACTACACTGGATCAACTCATTTATACTAAAATAAACCAAGGGCCAGATCTGCATATTTACCCTACTCCTATGCACATGCAAACACAGAATCCTACTCTGATAAATCAGGACATTATATGGTCCTGATATAGGCGCACTGAAAGTTGGTATGCCGGGCCACACAGGATCACATCCCTTAATGAGGCGTCGATTTCTACCAAAGCGTTATACAAATATATATAACTTTATATATATATATATATAATTACCAAATAAATATATGAAATTAAATCTAACAAATTCCTAAAAATTATAGAAGAATAGTAGAAAATTCTAGAAAATTATAGAAAATTTTCAAAAATTGTATAAACCCTAAATAACCTTATTGGGTCACAGATCAAGCATAACAGTTGATTTAAATATATATAACCTATATTTATAATTAAAATCCAACAATTCTAAAAAATAAAATAATAATAAATCATGCTTTTAGTACTACGATTTAATCTTAATTTAATCAAACAAAATTAACTTAATACCTTTGATTAAAATCGTTCTAACCATGATTTAAATTAATAAATTAAATTTAAAGCCTTGATAATCAAGGTAAAATTCTTATGAGTTCTAAAAGGAAAGTTAGAGAAGAACTCACCTGAAGGTTTCGAAACGAAACCGACACTTCAAGTTTTGAATATCTCTTCCAATCCCGAGATCCTCTTTGTCGGCCTTTTCCTTTTCTCTCTCTCTCTCTCTTATTTTTGTAACGTGTAAACTTTTAACCTTAAAGCCTTATGTGTATATTTATACACATTAAAATCCAAATCATATTCCAACTAAGACTCTCAAATAAAATAATAATCTTCAAATAATATATATATAAACATATATTATATTACATATACATATATATACCTTCCATAACTAACCCATTGGTTAATTATATCATATATATATATGTCCTTCCATAATACTTATTAATTAATTATATTTATATATATATAATTGTATATATATATATTTATAATTATACAAAAATGATAATTTAAATAATCACATAACCATGGGCCTTTATTAATTAACCTAACATGGCTTCATCCAAGCCCAAGACCATATCATTTGATTAAACTCCTCTTAAGCCCAAACCAATTAATTTAAATAGATCAAATAATTAAATGAACACTTAAATTAAAATAACTAATTACACTAAGCACATAAACAAAACAATAAATTACAACCAAGTCGCACTATACTAATAAAATTAACACACTAATAATTCAATCAATAATCAAACACACACAAAACAATCATCATATCAATCACTAAATATAATTTAATTAAAATAAGACAATTAATCTAAGCACTCAATTAAATAAAAAAAATTATTTAAAAATACAATAAAAGCAATTAACCTCAATTCAATCAAACAAATCATTTAAAAATAAAATAAAACTAATTAATCCCAATTAAAAATCCTTTAAAATATCGGGGTATTACATTTTTTTGTAAAGGAGGAAAAATTGGTTGTTGAGACTGTAAATAAGATTGGATGGGATCATATTTAACTGGACATGTGTCAATGACATGTTGGGGTATTTTTGAAAGGGCTGAAAATTTGTTGGTTGGTATCTTTTTGTAAAGGAGGAAAAACTGGCTGTTGGGACTGTAAGTAAGATTGGATGGGATCATATTGAACTAGACATGTGTCAATGACATGTTGGGGTATTTTTGAAAGGGCTGAAAATTGGTTGGTATCTATAAGAGAGTGTTTTATTGAATTTGCTGCTTCTTCAAGTTGGACTTTGTCGTACCAGCTTAATTTAAGGGGAGTTTGGGAAAAGGATGATTATGCATAAGCATCTTTGGTTTTGTGGAGTTTTATATCTGCAACTTAGGAATTTTTTCTTGTCTTGGGAGGCATGGTGTCCACCCTATACCAAACATTATATCTAGTTCTGGGCAGAAGCAGTCAACACAGTAACCTACCTGATTAATCGTGGACCGTTGGTTCCATTAGAGCTTCGGATACCAGATGAGGTATGGAGCGGCAATGAGGTAAATCTTTCGTGGTTGAAAGTTTTTAGCTATATAGCATATGCGCATATTAGTGACCATGCTAGGGGAAAGCTCGACCCCAAGTCACTAAAATGCATCTTCATTGGTTATGGTGGAGATGAACTTGGTTATCGACTATGAGATTACTAGAACAAAAAAATTATCAGAAGTAGAGATGTGATTTTTAATGAGAAGGTAATGTACAAGGATAGAGATACCGCACAGTCAACTAGTCCTGTATAGAGTAGCCCTGATTATGTTAAGTTGGATGATGATTCAAAAGATGATGATGATCAGATAGATGAGAGTTCATAGTAGGAACTCATTGATCAGAGTACATCGCGAAGTCCAACCCCAATACCCAACCTTTGAATGTCCCCACGAGAACCTATTCCAAATCGAAAGTATTTGGATTATATGTTGCTCACAGATAGTGGTGAGCCTAAATGCTATGCCGAAGCGTGCATGTCAGGTTGAAGATGCTAACAAGTGAGAGCTTGCAATGGAAGATGATATAGAGTCCCTTATCTCTAACAAAACATGGGAACTTGCCAAGTCACCAACAAAAAAGAAATTTCTTCACAACAAGTGATACAAGGTAAGATTGGTGGTCAAAGGCTTTCAGCAGAAGGAAGGGATTGACTACACCGACATTTTTTCACCGGTTATGAAACTAACTATCATTCGGTTAGTTCTCATCATTGTTGCAGCAGAGGGTTTGCACCTAGAGCAGTTAGATGTCAAAACTGCTTTTCTCCACGTAGACCTAGAGGAGGAGATTTACAAGTAGCAACCGCAACCGGAGGGTTTCTCAGTAAAAGGAATGGAGAAACTTGTGTGTAAGTTGAAGAAAAGCTTGTACGGTTTGAAACAAGCCCTGAGACAGTGGTACAAGAAATTTGATCGGTTTATGCGAAGACATGGCTACAACAAATAAATAAATAATTAAATAAGGCAAAAGTACGTTCCACAGTAAAAAATTTAGATTCCAGTTCTCCAATGCCAGCCTTCTAACTCCTTTTGGTGCTCATGGCAGACAACAGTTTCAAATCACATTATCAAAAAAGGAATCCAAGGCTACTTTCAATGTGCATGGCAAGCAATAGTTTTCCTTTCAGTGCACATGGTAGTGAGAAGCAACCTTTCAATCACTTCGTCCAGTGCACATGGTAGTGAGCAGCAGCAACTTGCACTCACCTCATTTTGAAGGAATCCAAGGCTCCCCGTAGTCCTATAAATAGTAGCTTCTCAAGCTATTCCAGGGCAAACTAGAACAAAGTTCAGATGCAAAGTTTAAACTCTGTCTCTCAGTTTCATTTCAATTATTCAATCAAATTGTAATTTTTAATTTTTATTCTCCAAGGAGCTCCGCTCAGAACAAGTTTGCAATAAAAGATTACCAAGTTATCAAAGTTGTAAGTTTCAAGTTTCAAATATTATATTCTGTCTATTCTGTCTTTTATCTTTCTGTATTTTGGTGATTTACTTTCTGTTATTAATATTTTGTCCTTGTAAGTTTATTATTTTCATCAATTCTTGGGTGTTTAAGAAAATATATATTTAATTTTTTTTTAAGCTTCAAAAATTTTCTTCCATTTTACGGCCGATCGGGTTGGATATATATGACCAAAATTATAAAATTCTCCTAATTCTTCTGCTATCTCTCCCTCTCCCAGACGGCATCTCTATATCTCTCTCTCCCAAAACTTTATATTTTTATTTCTTTTAAAGCTTCAAAACTTTTCTTCCATTTTCCAGCCGATTAGGTTGGTTTCCTGGCTCGGTTCCTTGACGAAAAATGCTCCCTCGTTACTATCTACTACACAGTCTAAGAGTTCAATTTATAGTTGAGTATTGAATATTTTTGGAATTTTTGAAAGTTTTAGATCTAGAACTTCAAGGGAGGTTTTGGTCTATTTCGAATCGGATTTTGGAGTCGCTTCTTTGGGACAATATGATCTCCTTGGCATCAGCTACAACCCCAACGAATAGTTTTTCATTGACCGGAGTTGACCGGCGTTGACTTTCCTGCCGTGATGCTTTTAGGTGCATTTTGAGGTAGGGGTGTCTAAATCATTAAGTTTTGACTTTTGTTGAGTTTTCTTACTTAATTTCTTGCTTAAACATGCTTATAATGATAAATCTTGAAGTGAAGATGTTGAGTATGTGTTTATGTGATGAAAATATGTTCAAAGATGATGTTGGTTGTATATATGTATGTTTGGTTGCAAGTTGTTTAAAGAGCATGCCATGTGATGATTTGTTTTCTTGAAATTATACACATATACATGATGATGATGATGACGACGTTGAAAAATATGTATGCTTAAATTGATAAAGTTGCAAAGTATGTAATTGTTAATTTCATCCATCCATGATTTCATTTCTGGCATGGGCATGGTAAAGGGTTTCTTGATCCGAAAAAAAAAAAAAAAAAAAAAAAAAAAAAAAAAAAAAAAAATTCATTATGTCTAGCAATTATCATATAGATTTCTTGAATTTCTTGATCCCCTCACATTTTTTTTTTCTCGGAAATTCAAGCAATTTTTATACAATCCTCTCACATTGCCATACTATAGCATGAATGATGTTCTGCTAACTTAGCTAATGTTGCATTGATATATTATAGGTTGTTTGGATTTTAAGACTGCTTACCATATATTCTGGATTACAAAAGCCAGCAAGGACATTTGTAATTCATGTTGATGTAATAGATAAAGTTATATCTCATATGCTAAAGTAAATTTAACCTGAGGGGAGGGGAAAATAAGAAATAAATAGAGAGAAGAAACAGAAGAATTCCATACCATAGTAGATCAGTACATAATACTTTAGATTAGGAGATATATATAGCCTAAGGCCTGAAGCTATTCCACTTTATTGATCATATATAGTAGTTTCAGATACAACTTTGCATTACATATATGGAATATACCCTCTCTTCTTTTAACTCATGGAACTGTGTAACCTGCACATAGACAGCAAATTACAACCAAAAGAGTTATATATATACTGTACTAAATTGTGAAACAACACACACACACACACACAACACACACACTTAAAATTAAGCGAAGAGAAGAGAGAATGTGTTTTCTTACTGCCCCACACACACACACTCTTATATACTGATTCTAACAAACCAAACTTAGAATTAAGTGAAGAGAGAATGTGTTTTCTTACTGCCACATTTGGATCCATGAGGGAGTGGTTTGCCACAGAAGCCCACGACATACACTGCTTTTTCCATGCTAATAATATTCTCCACATCCTGGGTGATGTTCTTGCACACGCAAGGGAAGTCTAGTGTCTGCACCACCTCGCAACATGCCTTGGACGGATCAACGGTCGGCCCAGGCTTCTGCACAAATCTGGAGCATTGCTCTACCAGTCCCTGCATGTCACCATGACACTGTCCCAACACCATGCTGTTGCTGTTGTCCAGAACTATAGTTCCAGCAATCACAAAGATAGCCAAAACTTTCATGAACATTGCCATCTCTCTCTCTAGCTCTCTGTACTGTATGTATGATATATATATATGTATATATAAAATCTATTGATTTTCTCTCTGGATAGTGTATTGTTTTGATCAGTTGCATGGGTTTATATAGAAGAGTTTTTTAGGTCAGTAATGGAATGGACACTTTGCATGCATGCACCTTGCAGTTGAAAAGTTGTGTGAAATATTTTACGTTGAAAGTTACCACAGTGCAAAAGCATGTGATCAGCATTTTATCATCCGTTAAAGTAGCTTTCTTTACAGGTGTGGATGCTCTCATTCATGAGAAAAGTCTTCTTAAACGTATGTGATGTCAGAATTCAATAGTTAATTATCTGTTCCATTACTTCATTTTATTATGAATATTATTATTACCCTACTGCCTTTTTATATTTTTGTAATCTGTGTATTTATTTGTGTAATCTGCGTATCATATTAATTATGCGTTAAAGTTATGTGAGTGGGAAGTTAGGGTCGAGTTTGGAGACGGGATCATCAAAGCGGTGGTGGAGCATGAAGATCACTTAAGGCCCATGGAAGTGGAGTGAGTTGACACGTTATGGCACACTGAGGCACATTGATTACCACTGATGACACCTGGCGGCGCAATGATAGAGATTTGACGATCCAGCTAGTTGAAGCGCGGCGCAATGATTTGCAGAGCGTATTGGAAGCTGGTCGCGCATAACGGAAGTGTAAGTTTGAAGGTTGATTGCTGTCGAGGAGGGGGTTGATTATACCAACTTTGGTCGTGACTATGATAAATTGATAAGATTGTTTACTATTAATCAAAAGACTCAGATATCATGTTAGAAATAGAAGAATTGTATATTAAATTGCATTATAAACAATACAATAGCATCTATATATCGGAGAAGGTTGTGAGCAGGTGATCGAGCTATGAATAAGTAATCAAGAAGAGTATTGCTATTTCACCCGACTTATTTACCTCGATTCATAACCGACTAATGATATGACATTCCTTTTGTAGGGCACATTAAATACATAAAACTTTTAGGACTAACATATCCTCTTATTTCTAATCTCACCCTTTTCTTTCCCCCAACCAATTACCATCTTTCCTCTTTCTATCGAAACTCATCTTAGAGCAATCCTCACCTTCTCCAACTCAATCAATCTTCACCTTCTTTAACAAATTTCATAATATCTTCAAATCACACAACGCCATTAATGTTTTCCAGAAAAGATTGATTGCCGAAACATATTTTCATAATAAGTACTTTCATCCTTATTTCCTCCCTTAAATTCAATTAAAACCTACTACCATAAATTTTGTTAAAATCCATAAAACACATCTTCAAAATGTTCTATTTTCTTTTATTTATTTATTTTTTTCTTGGTGATGAAAAACATATAAAATTGTAGTTGAAGAGAATAGAGAGAAACAAATTTGGTTGACTGAAACTTTTTTATTGACCGCAAAAAAATAAAAAATAAAAATGGAGGAATGTCAAATATGCAAAGGAGAAAAGGTGTATATATATATATGGCGAAGAAAACGAGAGAAACTAAAAGGGTATTTTTGTCTAAAAAATGTAGTACATTTAATATGCGATGAGAGAGATTTAGAACAATCATTCGTGTATTACCACGTTAAAGTAGGTTTTTCTATCTGTATCAAAGCGTCGTCAAAATTATCATTTTCCAAGTAAGAAATAATAATATGGAAATGTGTAGTATACAATAAATATATCTAAGTGGTAGGTAAATGGATAAACTTGTAATCTAATTGTGTTTTGTGTTTTTTTTTTACCCGCAATATCTGACTCATGAAGATAAGACATTACATGATCCGACTCCAAAAAGCAAAATTGTATAAAAATAAAGAATGATTAAATAAAATTCCTAATTAAAAAAAGAAAAAGAAAATATAAAAGTAATGTTACGAGGTTAATAATACACATATTAAATTCAAGAACAAATGTACAAATATGTTTATAAAAAAAAAATGATGTATATGCATATAAATCAGTGTTTATGTATAATATATTTTAGTGACTTTTGGTGCCAATTTTGTATTATGGTTGAATTTCACTAAGTTTTGTCACTAAACCTCCAAATGTGTGTGCAGAATGTGGTCGATAGAGCAAACATTTTGGTATGTATTCCTTTTAAGAAAATAGTACTACTATAAATGTTAAATGATGAACCCAAGAAAAGGATAGATGGCAAGAAGTTAGAAATTCAGGAGCTTGAACTTTTTCAAGACGTTAAAAAATATTACCCTCCTTTCAAATTAAATGTCCGTTTTGTGATTCTAATTTTTTCAAGAGGATGAGTTTTAATATTTTTTTTTATTGAATTAATAGCGAATTATCAAATATGTTCATAGTAGATCCAAATAAAGAAAACAAATCTCCCCATTTTTTTTTCCTTCCATAAATTAAATTAGGATAATAGGTGAACTTGCATATAAAAGCGAAACCCTTTTAATAGAATTCAGTTTGTCATTTAGCTCATTTTATATCCTTAACAATGTGAAAAAAAAAAAAAAAAAAAATTAAATTATTTGTTTATTATTCATGTTATTACAAATGATGTGTTTACCGTTCATGCATGAGATTCAAGATAAATATGTGACAGATTTTGTTCCATCACAAATTTCATTCAAGAGGCTATTGTGACTTGGAATTTTAAGTAAAACAATTTATTTGACTCATTGAGATAGAATGGTTGCGGAGTTGATTTTTTGATAAACATCTTATTTTGTTGTATTAGTGACGAAATGAAATTGATGAGTTTTTTTTTTTTTTTTTAGCCTAACGTACTGTTTTATATATCACATATTGGATTAAATTTGATTATATTAAATGCTTACGTGGATGTGCTTAAAAAAAGAAATATAAACGAAAAAAAAAAAACAAGGGAGTAGTGAAAGTACAAAGAATTTTCTCCAATTGTGGAGAGAGAAACTTTATACTCCCAATGATTTTTTAACCGCTTTTCCCTCTTAATTCCCTCCATTTATAAACGGTTATAACCACCCCTGGGCTGGTCCTAATTTATTCTCTTTCGTCTGGGCTCGACTTCTTTCTTCATAACTGGGCTTCCGCAATGACTTCTTGGATCTGGGCCCATTCAGCGGAGACTTGCTCCATCCTGGCTATCCACACCCAACCCGTTCTTAGCAATATGAATCATACCAAGCCCAAATCATTTCTGGTGTCTTCATCTGCCCCCAATAATCTCTCCCTTCATTAATTAGGGTGAGATTATTGAAAAGACACAATCTTGGTCTGACGGCTCGGAGCGATGACACGAGGAATCGAATTGCTAGCATAAGGACCCAGACTTCGAGATCTGCTGTGCCGCTTTTGCCTTAACCTTTTGAATTCTGTGTTGCCTCCATTTCTTCTCTTTAAAAACCCTAATCCTCTCAACCTTTATCTTCTTTTAACATATCCTACTTTTATTCTCCGTTGTCATCCTCCTGAGTTTCGTCCGTCACATTCCTACACTTTCCAGCGATCTTTCTTCAATTTCTCCGACGAATTTTTCCTTCGCGTCTTTGGCTATTGTGCTGTTGCTGTGTACTTCACAAACTCTCAAGGTCAGTTTTTTTTTTACTACCTTTTTTGAAAAAGAAAACTTTACTACCATAGATTCCTCCTCTTCTCCATGGCTCCCCCAAGTCTGAACGCCATTCGCTTCAAGAACAACATTCCCAATGATGTTTCTCTTAGGATCTACCCAACAAACTTAGATGGGAGATCTGGTGAAAGTCGCCTTCCTGGGAAGGTTTTATTTTCTGCCATCCATTTTAAACGTCATTAGGTTCCCCTTACACCCATTCTTTTGTTACGTTTTCAGCAAATTGGGGCTCTTCCCTCTGCAGGTTAACCCTAACTTCTTTAGGGTAATTTTAGTCCTTCTACTCTTGAACCGTGATAGGGGTCTCAACCTTGACATCATCGACCTTCTCCTCTGCTACAGAATTAACAAAATCAAACAAAGTGATCTGTACTATCACTTCTTTCCTATTGACAAACGGTCGATTTGCATAGATAAGAACTCGTTTGAGAAAGGTTGGAAACAAAACTTGATTGGGGTTAGTGGGAATTGGCGGACTCCGTTCAGTCAATCTTTCTCTATCCCTTCCTCCTTTGGAGTATGCTCTGTTTCTAGTTATAAAAAACTGAAAACACATCCCATTGAATGCCATTGTGAAAATTGCCTTCCCCATTTTTGTACTTTTCTTTATAGATGCCTTCAAATTCCTCATGACAAACTGGTTTATAGCGTTTGCAGGGCCAGGCTAGATGTCTTACAAGAAAGTGTGCTGAACAACGTCCCTTCAGCTACAGACTTACTTACTTCTGACGATCTCTCTGACATCTTTCTCCTAGGGTCTACAATGGAGAGCATTCAGATTCCATCTTTCAGCAGGAGGAATCGCTCTGCTCCCATCCCTTCTACTGCTCCTGTTACCATATCTTCCTCTACGCCTGTCACCACATCATCCACCTCTACTGTCTCTGCCCCAGAACAAGTCATGACTGCTCCAGTTGTGACTCCAGTCACAGATCATTCTGCTGTTGGGCCATCTGTGCTCACCCATGCTAAGAACCTTGTTGTGGATCATTCCGCTGAAGCCCATCCTGCTGCTCCCATCATTGTGCCTTCAAATATTCTGTCTGACACTTCTTTGGAGAGCACTTAGGATGCTGGAGGTTCTCAGAGCAATGGAGGGCCGGTTAGTGTTGGTCTGTCAGAGAAAAGTTTGGGAAAAAGGCCAATGCCTGAGGGCGGTCGTGACCAGAGTGACGTCCCACCTGCCCGGAGGACCAGGATGGCTTCTTTCAGGATTACTGAACCTTTTCCCCCAGCTTGGTTTTTCATTCCAGAGGGTGAGTCTGCCAGAACCTCTGGTCCAACACCATCCGTTCTTCCATGGGGACCTTTACTTAGCCGTGAAGATGGCTCGACCATTAGCCCTACAGATTCTATGTACAAGGACCCCCTCACTTCCTTTTCCT